TGAGATAGATATAGATAGATAGATAGATAGATAGACAGACAGACAGACAGACAGACAGATAATCTGCCCCGTGTAGTCCCTGTCTTTTACAAAGTACATACACAGTATTCCTAAAACAAGAGAACAAGAAAATAAGTAGTAAAAGTTCAAATGGACATCAGTATGGTGAAACAATAACTCTGATATGTTAGCAAATAAGAGACTATGACTGTGGTAAGAAGGAACACTAACTAATGAAGTTCTCTGGTGATGAGGACTGCTCAGGTCTGAGTAGGTAGAGTAGAGCTCTGTCCGCAAGAGGTGAATCGTCCAGGTATCCAAGAGGGGTCCTTCTCAGGGGGGAGCCAGCAAGTCCCGGTGTGATGATATCAGTTTATGTCACAAATACCTGAAGGACTGTGTGAGAGGGGTTACAAGAGACGAGGAAAGCAGAGGACAGATCTTGCAGTCCTTGTTTTAGAATTTTAAACAAGAGAAGGATGTAATCTTATTTTAGTTGAAAAATACTTTTTTGAGGCTGCAATGTGGGGGACCAAAGATAAAAGCAGGAAAGAGGCAAAAGAAGGAATCAGTTCAGACTAGAGAGGTAATGGTAGATATGGTAAGACATACTCAGTTTGAGGAATATTTTAAAGGTAGAGCCTGTAAGACTTACGTACTGACTGGCTACAGCAGTTTGAGAGATGGAATAAAAATCAAGGAAGAATCCTAGTTTTTTCACCTAAGAGTTACTAGACATGCAGAAGAAAATTAAGATTTCTCTTTGGGTCACAAATAATTTGAGATCCCTTTTAGATATACAAGTAGATGTGCTGAATAGCAAAGCTCAGAATTTGAGACTGAATTATGTATTTAGGAGGAGTCAGTGTTTGGATTATATTGAAAGCAATAAGACTGGATTGATGAGAGAGAGGGAGGGAGGGGCAGGGAGAGATGGAGGGAGAAAGGAGGAAAGATGGGAAGGTAGGAGATAGGGAAAGCTTTCCGATTCGCTTTGGGATATTTCCAATTTTAAACATCAAGCAGACTAGGAAACGACGAGACGAATATGGGGTAAGGAAGGAGAAGAACCATGTGACGACTCAGTACAGACTATTCTATTACTAATTTGCTGTGAGTATAAGAGTTTATGGCTAGAAAGGAACAAGAGGTGAGGTAGGTTTGGGGTTTTAATGTGAGACTAAGGAGTATATATTTGCATATATGTTGATGGTGACAATCCAGTAATTGGAGAAGTAAGTTGATAGCAGAAGAGAGATTATTACAGCATCAGAGACCTTTAGCAGACTTGCAGCAGTGTGACCAAACTGTGACAAAATAGCTGTCCATTATTGATAAGAATCATTAAACCACAGTGTAGCATATTGGTTTGCAAATTATTGATTACATAGTGTGGCCCATTAGTCAGTTGCAGATATGACTGGCAGAAGGTTACTTGTAATCAGAGAAAATGCTGATTCCAAACAAAGAGAAAAGCTCTCCTGTCACACCTGCTGTGCACGTAATGATAGGCACATTTCATGGTGGGAAAATTATATTCTTATGTGATAAATAATAATTTATTGAATTAAATCAATAAGTTTCTGACTTGTAAGGCAAGGAAGGCTGTTAAAAATGATGAGAAACAATATGCAGATTGAGGATTTAAGTAGTCCTATGGTAGAACTTTAAGGGAATACTGACCGCTCAACTTGAAATTTAAGGTTAAACTTTAAATTAAAAGGAATCAATAAAATAATTTCCCTGTGTTTCTTGACTTAGGGTTTTTCAAAAGAGCAGAGAGAAGACAGAAGTTAAAGATAATTGAGAAGCAGTGCGTTTATTAATTAATCATGAAATCTGAGCCAGGCAAGGAAGGAAAGAAAGAATGAACAAACAACCAACCAGTGGAAAAAAGAATGGTGGCAGTGATAGATTAGCAGTCTCAAGGATTCAAAAGAGTATTTACAGTGAATAAAATTAAATTAATTCAATGATTCGTAAGTGGGAGGCAAAAGTGAAGATTTTGGGTAGAATCATTCATTATATGTTCCTCAGCTGTACGATCCCTGCTCAGACACCTTTTCTCCACACTTCCAAACAACTAGAAGTATTAAATTAGGACATAACACTTAGATCTAGAGCTTTCTGCTTTTCTCAATATATCATATAACATAGGCACTATACATCAGTGATATGAAAATATAAAAAATAATTCAAAGAATTACCTAATTCCATTTAGCCAGTTCTCACTCAGATTTACATGTTGAGAACATCCCAAGTATATCATATTATAATATCAAATTATTTTTGTATTTGAGACTATAATATAAAAATACCATTCTGAAGATTGTAACTTTCTCTCTGGTTGAAAAGTAAGTACATTACTGTTGTACACTTGCTAAATCAAAGTAAATACTTCTCTGCAATTCAACAGTATACATTATTCACAAAGCCTAATAATAAGACTTACATTGTAGGATTGTTGAGGGTTAAATGAAATAACGAGTATATTGCTAAGCTCAAAGCTCGGCAAAATACCCTTCGATATAAATTAGCTATTATTATTTAATATACAGTAAATATTTTTAGAAATGAATTATTTGCTGTAGAAAATACATTAAAATACCAACTTTAAAAAGAACAAGAATTTGTTGATATATCTTAAAAATTAAAGAAAATATAGCATAGAATCAAGCTATGCAATTTACCAAATGGTTTTCATTTCATCAAAACATCTGTAACTTTCTTTTTGCATTTGACTTTCTATATATCTTTCATGGATTGTCTGAAAATCAATTTGCTTTCCCAACTTCTAAAAAATTAATCTACCCTGAAGGGTAGAAAAATTCTTTAAATGTTTTTCTTTTATATGTGTATCTCAAGGATTAATTATTCAAAAGCTTATTATTTTGCCTCTGGACATTTATCCCTCATAGCAAAATTAACTTTTCTCCAGTCATATCTATAATTGTTTATTGGGATAGACTATATAGTCAATAATTTGAGAACAAATGTTCCATACACTCTGTTGTACAGTATAAATGTATGTATTAAAAGGTACCATTTCTTTGGAATTCAATTAGATGAAAAAAGTAACATTTTTCAAAATGTTGTAAAAGAAGGCTCATTTTTCTAATAGCCATGCCTTAGGTGGCTTTGGGATATATAAGATCAAATTATTTTTACATTAAAATCACCTTTGATGGGAGGAAAAAATAAATGTATAGTTATTTTTATTATGAAGCCTAGAAATGTAGACAAATGCATTATTTTTCTTTCACAAAGAGATTCGCCAGTTTCCTCCAATGTTTTCCCCTTTTGGATTGATAAGTAGTACAGCGGTCATGTATTTGAAATTTAGAAATTGAACTGAGACCTCAAAAGCTCAGTTCACATAAGAGTTTTACATCCCCGAGCCCTGTCACTGCTAGAGTCAACATCATAATTACAAATGGCATTCTCATGGAAAGCACATCATTTGATGTAGTAGGTAGAAAGGGAGCCAAGTGACTAGCGTGGTGTACATAATAAAATCACACACTAACAGTGTGAAATTGTGTTTCCACAGCATGAAAATGATATATGGCCACCAGCTGGAAAGGAACGAAAACGTTCAATAACCAAAAATCCCAAAATTGGAGGTTTACCTCTAATTCCAATCCAGCATGAAAAAAATGCAACTCAAGCCCGAAGAAATATTGAGGTAGGTTAGGATTTTGATTTTCTGATATTAAATTAAAGCACTTGTTTTCCTGTGTCTTGCTATGACTATAAATGTCAGTCACTGCCTAGTTACTTTGAAAAATACAGTAATCATAAATATCAAGAAAACATTATGAATAATCTTACATCATTTATTTTAGTGACACTGCCTACCCATTTACATAGATACAGTATCATTTATTTTCTTATCTCAAGAGTAGCCTAATAATTTTAAATATTTGTGTAGAAATTGTGGTGGTACAGTACATCTCAAATTAGTTTTAGAAAGTTATTAAACTACCTCAAAGCGAGTCTGTGGCAGAAAATGTCCGGAGCTAGGATAAGTAGATTTTCTACAGACGTAAGCAATTTCCAGTGGTTTGGGAAATAATGGGGTATTTTGCTTAATTTAAGAAACTTCAAGATGACATTTGAGCATCAATTAGCTTTGCTCTTGAAGGTCATTATTTATTTTCTTTCTCACTGTGGGGTGGGAGCATTTAAGTAATGCCAATCTTGATGTGAAGTATGGTCTCTTCAGGAAAGATCATAGGCTTTACTCCCAAAACTCATTAGCCACTTGGGAACCAGCTCATGTCTCAGTGTCTTAATTGAGTTCCTCAAAGCACAAAGAAAAGCATTTAAAAAGTATTATATCTTCTTTGAGCTTAAATTTGGGATTAAGCTATTTGAATCTTTTGCTTTCCAAGCAGGGGAAAAAAAAAAAAACCTTTAGAAGAATAAAGTCACTTTAATGTAGTAATCAGGTCTTTCAAATGTTTCTCCATGTATGAAAACGTGCCTGAATATTTAATCCCACTGAAAAACTCTGTCTCTAAATACAAAGGTTTCAAAAATAACGGTCTTTAGTTGCCCTACTTGATGTTGCTACACTGGTATAATCAAAGGAGAGTAAGTCTCCCAAGAAATAATGACCTTGTCCCTCTGTCCATTCCACACCTACAGTTTTTGCTTATAAAAACATTCTGCAAAATTATGGTTTCATTAATCTAGAATCTAAAAATTCTTGAGACATTCCACAGAACAAAGGTAGAACCAATAAAGCAAATGTAGAGAATATATATTCTCTCCCATGACCCAGATCTTCAAGCTACTGCCTTAGGATCAACTACAGAGAAAAGCAAATGACAAGTTTTTAGGCTCAAAATTCTTCAACCAGCAGTCCGTGTAGATGATTTATTTTTTAATTTTTTTATTGAGTTTATTGGTACATTTTAGGTATACAGTACAGTTACATTCATTATTAGGATCTTGTACCTTTACATGACAGATCTTGGTTCTCATTTTTTCCCTTTGTCCCTGCCCTCCTTTCACCCCCTCCTCCCCTCACCATTTACAAACACTTTATTTCCATTTTTTCATTTTCTCGTATTTTTTCCCTTATTACCTTTCCCCTACCCTTCCCACTTTCCCTATACCTTTAGCCCTTTTCTTCCCATTTCACAATGTCAGTTATCTCATTAGGAGCTTATGTACTATTACATTTTATTCACACCAGAGAAACTATTCGGTATTTACACGTGTGACTTATTTATTTCACTTAGGAATATATCCTCAATATGTATCCATTTTCCTATGAATGAGTCTAATTTCTCCTTTTTTTTCAGCTTTAATTGAGTTTATTGGTACATTTTAGGGATACAGTACAGTTACATTCATTGTTGGGATCTTGTACCTTTACATGACAGGTCTTGATTCTCATTTTTTCCCCTTACCTCTGCCCTCCCTTCACCCCCTCCTCCCCTCCCCATCTACAAACACTTTATTTCCACCTTTTCATTATCTCACATTTTTTTCTTTTCCCTTTTTACTCTTCCCCTACCCATCCCACCTTCCCTACACCTTTAGCTCCTTTCTTCCCATTTCTAAATGTCAGTAATCTTATTAGAATCGTATGCATTGTTGCAGATTATTTACACCAGGGAAACTATTCGGTATTTACACATGTGTGACTTATTTATTTCACTTAGGAATATATCTTCAATATGTAATTTCTCATTCTTTATGGCTGAGTAGTATTCCATTTTATAGAAAAACCACATCTTTATCCAATCTCCAACTGATGGGCAAATGGGCTGATTCCAAGTTTTAGCTATTACAAAATGTGCCACTATAAACGGGTATGCATATATCACTCTGGTACGATTCTTTTAATTCTTTTGGAGAGAGACCTAGAAGAGGGATGGCTGTGTCAAATGGAACCTCTAGTCCCAGCTCTTTGAGGTATCTCCATATTGATTTCCATAGTGGTTGCACTAATCTGCACTCCCACCAACAATGGAGAAGGGTTCCTTTCTCCCCACAACCCCTCCAACATTTGTTATTGGTTGATTTCTTGATAGTTCTCTCTTTTCTGGGGCTGCCAGTGGGACATTTTGTTTCCTTTCTGTAATAAACTTTCCAATTAACGCCTTTGGCTATAAATTTGTACTGCAGCCTCAGTATTAATTTCCATTATCACTGAAGTAAGGACCATGACAGATAATAAACTTCAATTAACGCCTTTGGCTATAAATTTGTACTGCAGCCTCAGTATTAATTTCCATTATCACTGAAGTAAGGACCATGACAGTCAGTGACATCTTCAGTTTCCTGATCTTGAGCATGTTAAAAAATTTCACTCTAAAATTGTGGATTTGGGATCAAATAATAAACTACTGCATTTTAAAATCATCTACATGGTAAACTGAAGATGTCACTGACTGTCATGGTCCTTACTTCAGTGATAATGGAAATTAATACTGAGGCTGCAGTACAAATTTATAGCCAAAGGCGTTAATTGGAAAGTTTATTACAGAAAGGAAACAAAATGTCCCACTGGCAGCCCCAGAAAAGAGACAGAAAGAGCTCACAAACCTCACACTATTTCTTGTATAGATGGAAAAATGGTCAACAAAGGATATGTTTCATTTTTGTAGGATCCCCCAAAAATGTCATTAATTATTCATTATTTTCCCAAGAAAGGGCATTGGTCTCCGGACAGGGTATTATTTAGCTATTGTGCAGGCATGACTTTGTACATAGCTCAAAATGTGCTTAGAAATGTGTCATGTTCCCCCAGGTGGAGATTTTATTATAGAAATGCATTAAAATGAAAGTATAAAAACCCTTAGTGTCAGTGCTGAGTCCTATTCTTCACCATTTTTACTATTTTACTATTTTTATTTTAATTTTATTTATTTATATTTTATTTTACTATTTTTACTATTTGCACAGTTTCTCATGCATCCTACCCTCTTATCTCAAGGATTGCAGGGCTTGGTCCTATAAGTAACAGCTTGATTTTCTTGTCACTTTTTATCTCCCAGAGATTTAGCTGCTTGCTTACTTTTTCTCAGGCTGTTACTTTAAAGTCTTGCCAGTAGTAACCCTGTGTGTCAAAATTGTTGCTTTGAGAAATTGTTAAAGTCTCTTAAAACAATTCTGTGCAATATTTTGTGTTTTTTTTTTGATCTTTATTAAATTTATTGGTACACATTAGGTATACAGTGTAGTTACATTCATTATTGGGATCTTGTACCTATACATGACTTATCAGGTTCTTATTTTTCCCATTCTCCAGCCCTTCCCTGAGCCCCTCCACCCTTCCCTGTTGACAAAGACATTGTTTCCATGTTTTTCCTTTGCATATATTTTTTCTTTGCCCTTTTTAACTTTCCCCTACCCCTCCCACATCCTGTACTCTTTTAGACTTTTCTTCCTATTATGCAATATCAATTATACATTTTAATCCATATTTGCACTTTTACTTTTTCACACCAGAGACATTATTCGGTATTCATACATGTGTGACTTATTAATTTCACTTCAGAGTATAGCCTCAATGCACCCACGTAGCTATAAATCTCTCTAGTTTCTCATTCTTTATGGCTGGAAAGTATTCCATTTTATTTAAAAAAACACATCTTCTTTATCCAGTATCCAGTTGATGGGCAATTGGGCTGTTTCCAAGTTTTAGCTGTTATAAACTGTGCCGCTATAAATATGGGTAAGCAAATATTGCTGTGGGATGATTCTTTTAATTCTTTTGGAAGATACCCAGCAGAGGAATAGCTGGATCAACTGGGACTTCTAATCCCAGTTCTTTGAGGTATCTCCATATTGACTTCCATACTGGTTGCAGCAGTCTGCACTCCCTCCAACAATGAAGAAGGGTTCCTATCTCCCCACAACCCCACCAGCATTTGGTATTGGTTGATTTCTTGATAGCAGCCATTCTTACTGGGGTGAGATGGAATCTCAGTGTTGTTTTAATCTGCATCTGTCCGATGATCAGTGATGTTGAACATTTTTTCATATGATTATTTGCTGCTTTTTTTTTACTTCTTTGAGAAAGGTCTGTTCATTTTAGATGCCCATTTTTAATCGGGTCTTTATATTGGGGGGGGTCTGATTTTTTTTAGTTCTTTATATATTCTAGATAGTGAACCTTTGAGGAACATCTGGTAAAAATTTTTTCCATAATTATGGGTTGTCTCTTAGCTGTGCTTGTGATTTCTGTGACAGTGCAGAGGCTTTTTAAAAAGATGAGATCCCTATGTTGATTCTTCCTACCCAGGAGCAGGGGATATCTTTCCATTTTTTTATATCCTCTTCAATTTCTTTTTTCAGAGTGCTGTAGTTTTCAGTGTAGAGATCTTTTGCTTCTTTTGTTAGATTGATTCCTAAATACTTCATTTTTTTGGGTGCTTTTGTAACAGGAATTTTTTCCCTTATTTCTCTCTCAGTGAGTCTGTTATGTGTGTATAAGAAGGCTATTGATTTTTGGGTGTTCACCTTGTATCCAGATACTCTACTGAATCTGTCAATTAAGTCTAGAAGTCTTTTGGTGGAGTTTTTTGGGTCTTCAATGTAGAGTATCATATCATCAGCAAATAATGACAGTTTAACTTCTCCTTTGCTATCTGTATTGCTTTAATTTCTTTCTCTGGTCTAATTGCTTTGGCTAAGGTTTCCAGAACTATATTGAAGAGGAGTGGT